GGGGGGGGGGGGGGGGGGCAGCACCGAGGGTTGCGATCCCGTTGCCGGTCCCGGTCCGGTGCGGGTGCGACACTGAGGGTTGCGGTCCATTGCCGGACACGAAAAAAGACAAAAAAAAAAGGAAAAAAAAAAAGAAGCTGCAAGGACAGAAAAGTATAACACATTCGTCCTTCTCCCTTCAAGAGACTTAAAACGCAATTAAGAAATATATAAGACATGTAGATACAAGTTAAATAACAAGGATGGGCAAGATTCTGATTGGTGACACTATAGAGACTGATAGAAAACACTCCATTGGAGACAGCACAAAAACAGAGTCAGGAAGGCACAGGACAAGTGTGGCAAAAACAAAACAAAACTAAACAACAACAAAAAAACTTAGGCCACTTTGGGATACAGGATTCACAACTGTAAATGTTACATAAGAGACAGCAACTATAGCTTTCTGGGTTCATCCATGAAAAGAAGGGTAATAAAAACATTTTTATCATAAGAGACATATGAGCATATTTCTGGGTAGGCACAGCATGGTACAGTAAAAAAAAAACATGGGCTCAGGAATCAGAGTGATGGAATGAATCCCAGCTCTGCCACTTCAAACAATACAGTCTCTGATCTTCTAGTCTCCTATATAATTCTGAGAATTAAGTGAATTGAACAATGTAAGCACTTAGCATAGTTTTTTACATGGTAAATGTTTGCCTTTTTTCTTTTGGATTGAAAGAAAGGATCTCTTGCCTGTTGGGGGGTGAGGGTAGAGAGTGGATTGCTGAAGATTCCAAACTAAGAACTTCACAGAAATCCAACACATAAAATAGATAAAAGCAAAACTATCCTGGTTGAAGGGAGATGGGAAGCCTGGAATCCTGCCAGCTGTGTGTCCTCTACCTACCTGCTCTTCTCTATCCTTAAAATCCTAAGGGCCACAGAGCATAAATGGCAAACCATTTGATTAAGATCTTCTGAATTAAGACAGGAGAATGCAGTCTGCTAAGGAGGAAGGGAAGAAAGAAAGAAATCTGGGGTTATGAGTAATGTGGAAAAGGCTTATAAAGCTAGGAATATTAAAAGCACCACAGGCTTGAGGACCCAGTTAAGATTACAAAAATGTACCATCTTGTCATTCTCTGCAACATTTCCCAAGCTCATCCTTGAGAAAAATAGATGGTAAAGTAACTGAGGGCTGACAAGCTGGTCATAGTCGAAGGTTAAATGTCTAGAATAGTACTCAGCACACACAAAATCTGGCCCCAAAATACCGAATCAATGAAAAGGAGACAAGAAAGTCTAGCAAACTAGCAAGGACAGCTACTTTTCAGGCAGGGACTGCACTCCATACTTCTCTTGCGTCTTGCATTTTGACTACTGCAGTGCTGAGTATAGTATACTCACCTAAATGCAGACTGAAGGCAAATGTGAATAAAGTTTTTATTATTATTTAAGACAAAGACATACTGGAGTATATAGACAATGCAAACAAATTTTAGGGAAATAACTAATCCACAAGAACTTAACATTTAGTTTATAAGAATTTTCACTGACAATGTTTAAAATAGATTTCAAATATGAAGTTAAAATATTTGTTCAGAAAGTCTCCTTTAAATAAAATTTTACCTGGATTCTTCTAAAGGATGCTGGACAGTAAGAAGTCGAGGGTGTCTTAGCCGAGTTAACTGTTGAACTCCTCGTTTTAGAGAATCAATGATTTGATCCTTTTCAAATTTTTGATACTTGTCAATCAGCTTTTTATCAAAGACAAAAACAGCCACTTCCTAATAAAAGAATTTTGTAACTAATATTAGTCGAGAAATATATAAAGGTAATAAAATTATATTTGAGTATCACAACAGTCTACAAATAGAAATAAATAAAAACAAATGCCATGGAAACTTTAGCACCATTGTAATACTTTTCTGATAGCAAAAAGGTAGCTTCCTAATGATTAGTAAATCTAAATATTTTTAAAGGTATGAGACTCAGAGTCCTCATCTAAAGAAAATATAGGGAAATCTCCACTTGAATTCTGGTATCAGAGGGACACATAAACTGGGAGTAATGTGTTGTCCCCTACAAGGTAATCCTTATTTAACCAGAATCCAAACAAAAGCTAAAATGTTTAAAAATTCAAAATGCTATTCATGGTAACAACCCTGGAGTATACTACAAAGTCTTGAAATGCTTTTTAAAAGGAAAATTACACGTTTCAGCGAGTGCTTGTTCATACAAAAACCTACCTTGTAAGTATCTTTTACATATGAATAATCTATACTCTCATACCTGTTAGGTGGCATACAACTAAGAGTATATATCTAAGCCATCTGCACAGTTATTAAGTGCCGTCCTGTTATGGGCAATAACTGGGAATTGTTACTAGTACCGGAAGCTGCTCTCCCATCACCTCTCTTTGAAATCATCCACAGCTTATTTTATACCATCATTACAAGCACACATCCTCTTTACCATCTTTTTTCTTTCATTCTCTCTCAGTTACCCAAGCGAAAAAGTTTTCATCTAATTACCCCATCTTAATAAACTAGTCAAAAAATAGTCCTATTGATAGGCGACATGTCTAATCCAAAAAAAAAAAAAAACAAAACAAAACTGGAAGAAAAATTACCAAAGAATACTAAAATTCTTTGAAAGATTTTGAATGACTCAGAATTTCTGTAGAAGTCTCTTTCAAAAGCCTCTAATTAAACCTACTCAACTATCAATATTCAAGACAGTATCTTCCCATTTTATTGTTTTTCTCTTCTAATTATTTTCCTCTGCTTTTTCATTTTTGCTACATTAGGATTACTGTTTTCACAAATTATCCTTGCAACCTAATCATCTCATAGAGATTCACTGCAAAATTCCAAGCCAAAAAATTTCTCCAATATAACTTGTTTTAAGTTGGAGGCTACTTAAACATATATAAATGAGTTAAGGATTTTGGAGGATTGAGTCCCTGAAAAGTGATAACGTAAAGGAACTACTTAGTAACTCAACTCAAACACTCCATTCCCTAAGTATTTGTGAATAAGGCAGCATTTATTATAACAGAGGGTGTATTTACACAGCACTCAAGACACTGGCATTAGATCAGAACAGAGTTTGAGTCAATTTTCCTATAACAAACCAACCATCTTTGGGCAAATTTTCCCAACAAAAAAATGGGCATAAATAATAGTGTGAATACCTCATAGGATCGCTGAAGAGTAAATGACACAGCAATGTAAAAAAAAAAAAAAACTCACCACAATACCTGACATACTATAAACATTCAGCAAATGTTAGCTATCACTGTTACACCACTGACTAACCCCAAGACCTGTTCTTTGTTGTTTTTCTATTACTGGTGACAGTTTTCTGCTGACACACATGTATTCAATAACACACATCTGACCAATGATCTGCACATTCAAGACCGATGTCAAGAAGTATCTATGAAATACACAGGTACAGACTCAACATCCTATCAACTTCATAAGGAACATTAATATGTTATGCTAAACAAAATGATGTGATATAAACTTAGTACCACTCCTGTATCACACAGAGACAAACACACAGCATGTAAGAGTATAACCATGGTTAAGAGCCCAGTTTCTAGAGACACACAAACCTAAAATGGAATCTCATTCTTGCCACTTATTAGGTTGATTTTGAACTCAAACCTTGGTCATTGTTACTTTCAGACCACAGGCATAAAAGAGATGAGATAAAAAATGAAATTATAATACACTCTAAAGCTAAAGTTTCAGGTTTACAAATAAAGAAATTCCCAAATTAACTATTTATAGAGATAACAGTAGAAAATATTTGCATAGTTACTAAGTGCCAAGCATTGTGCTAAGTACTTTTCAGAGATTATTCCATTCCTCACAGCAGCCCTATGAGACAAGTTACTATTATCCTCACTTCACAGATGAGGAGATATGGAGAGGATAAATGTTTTACCTAAGATCTCACAAAGGGGAAGATGAAGAGTCAGGATTCAAACCTAGGTAATCTAATTCTAAGGCCTTGTTCTTAGCCAATACGCCATTCTGTCTCTCCAGAAATAACAAAGGGCAAATATGGAGCACCCATGTAAAATGAAACATACCTTCAGGAAAGGAATCACTCAAACTTAGTGACAGCTTTAAATAACACTCATACATAAACACATAATCTTAGCCCTTTTGATCATTATGAGACACAGGACAATCAGGAGATAAGAGTTTTATGTAATATTAATTTGAACTAAAAACAAATGACCTAGAACTTCAAGTTCCTATCTCACCATTCATGTGCACAACCTTATTTTAGCAAGTGTTCTGCTATAACACATTTTACAAATGCATCTAATTTAAATGTGTTTATTTTTTCAAGTTGTTTTAAGCCTTAAAAAAGAAAAAGATCACATGAAATGGCTATTGAGCTCTTACAATTTCACTACTCTTAAGGATAGTTCATAAAGAAAAAGAAACAACACAAAACTCTTTCTCAGAGTTTTTATCTATTGTTTTAGGTCAAAGATGACTGATTCCTACACAGGTCAGAATAGGTTATCGACTATCTTAAAAATATTTTCTCTTGGTAAGAGCACGGTGCTGGTTACACCAAGGTCAAGGGTTTTGATTGCCTTACCAGCCAGCCGCAAAAAAAACATATATTTATGTATATATTTTCTCTATCAGTTAATTAAAATTAACCACCTTCGACAAAGTTGTGCTCTTAACACTTCAGGCCTTATACTGACTTCCTAAAATAAAACTCTTATCTTCTACTTCAAAACCTTTCATCAGAATATATCATAATTTAATTTTTAATTTATGTTTTTCTTTTACTCTTTTGCTATGATATCCACTCTGCTATTATATATCACTTTTGTAAAAGTCCTGTCACTTTGAGGGGTTTTCAAACAGTTCATAGAAAGATTCATATTATCTTTTAATTCCATCTTTCCACGAACTTTTTGAAGTACTCTCGTATATCACAAACTTGTTAAAGGAAGAAATGATGTCTCACATGTCTGTATCCATCACAGGATCTAGCAGTATCTTAAACCTAGAAGACACTCATGTATTTATTGCCTACTGATCAACAATAAAGATATGCAATTAATGAAAGCTCTTTATTATCACTTTGAACCAAAATTTTTTTCCATTTTTCACTATAAAAATTTTCAGATATACAGAAAAGATGAAATAGTGCAATCATTCAGTATATCTTCCACTTAAAGATTCAACAACTGTTAACTCTAAGTTAAAATTTGAGGGTTTTATTTTAATACAAAAATTATTAGAACAAAATATAAGCAATATTTGACATTCTATTGTTTATTTATTCATTGCATACTCTTTAAAATACATTGGCAAAGAAAGTTGCTCACTAAAAAAGTATTTTTTCTCAATAACCTAACATTAAACAAAAAAGGCTAAGAAATTATTCTAAAGCTGTAATATTTGTGTATAATTTATAATTAACTTATAATTTTAAACTAATTTATAATTTTTAATAGCTACTTTGGTTACTCCAAAATTGAACTCTGCTGAAAACAATATAGTTTGAGTAATAAAGTCTAAGTTATGTAAGATAATGTTTAGGATTCCCTAATAGCAATCACAACCTCCACTAACCTATCCCTCAGAGCTACCAGAAACGTTTTTTGAAACACAGATGTTTTCTGTAATCTCTATTCTGTGGACCCTTTATAGCTGGCCAATGGTGACTGCAAGCATCATACTCTTCATTTTTCATCTGATTTGGGGATATTACTCTTTCTTCAAAATGATAAAACAAAATCTGAGGTTTTGTTTACATTAAGCTAAAAATAAGTTGGTTTTGAAGAACACTGAAAGGTAACAACATACTCCTTAAAATTATCAGAGATAGTCTATGATCATTTTTGATCTAAATGACTTGATTAGCATATTCAGCTTTGTACAATATTTTTATTTTAAAATGTTTAATTATAACTTCATTATTTATTATATTTTAATAATGCCTTTGTCTACACAATATTAGCCAGCCTCAACCATGAATACTGGCATGTGAATAACACAATGCAGATTTTGTTGTAAGAAAGGGACTTTGTCCAGGTGGTCAATTAGCTCACAGTTGCTTAGACCATGGTGCTGATAACACCAAGGTTTAGGGTTCCATCCCTATAGCAGCCAGCCCCCCCAAAAAAAGAGGAGACAGGGACTATGTCCAATCCTATATTTGGTAGAGTGGAAAAAATATGAACAATTAAATGGTTACTATATAACAATTTTTTAAAAATCAGTCAATCTTTATTGTCCTCACAGAAAGTAACTGGAGGTATTATGAAGCTCCTGAAGCAGTCAAGGTGAAAAAACCAGGCCAACAAATATGTCTTTTCAGCCAAATTAACACCAAAACCTCCCTATCTGAAAAACAAACAAAAATAAAAAGAATAAAGCTAACATAGCAAAATGTTTTTATAAAATTAAATTGAGTGCTCTATAAAGAGCATAAGCTTTCCAGTTTCCTGTATGTTTAAAATTTTTCATAATAAAAGTGGGAAAAAATGTAAAAAGCAGGAAAAAAAAAAAAAAAGGAAAGGTCTACTGCAAAAGCAGATGTAAAAGGTCAAGAATAAATGTGGGACACTAGAAGACTATTAATAAATGTTAAGTTAAACCCATCTAGTAGAGTAGTAACCTGGCAATGTGGAATCTTGTTTCAAGATAAATAGAAATGCTTAATAATAATACATAAATGCTAAAATAGCCAAAGACCAGGCAAAATTATATATATATAAACATACATATACACACAT